TGCCGTCTCCAAAGATGTAATGAAAAATACATGACCAAATATCCCTGTGTCCGACCACCAAGGAGAGAATACAGGCCTCATGTTCAACAATCTGCATTCTAATGAGAATCGAAGACATGTCATAATTGTCTTCGAGAAGGCTATGCACTGTTTGTGACTCATGAACAGCTGCACTTGTTTCAACTCGGAGTGCTATGTCAAGGTTGTTCATTGGAGTCATCAAGTTCGAAATTGAATATGTAAATTTGACTTTTGCACTGACTTCCTGACAACTTATTATCTTGTCAGACTGCACAGTGAACACACAGAGATGCACACGTTACATTATAACATCATGTTACATAGATACCTAGAGTTCTATTAACTTGTCATGACATGATTGCCCTAACAGCTGAGCAAATTAGGATTGGGCATCTTCCCAACGTAAGGGAGTTAACTGACTGTACAAAAATCCAGTTTCTACCCTTGGTGATCTAGGCTGAAATTTTGTGGCTTGACTGTAGTGCCACCAGTGGCTATTATGAATTTCTTCTACGTCCCTCCTACTGACCAATCAGATTCCACCCATCATATCACTTGCATTTGCTTCACAGAAAAAGACTTGAAATAATCAGAAAGAAAAAATCACTTGAGCACCTTGATTAAAAACATGAAAAGATTTGGAAAATATCTGTTGACACCCTGTTGTCAGTACACATGCTTTGCAAATCTTGCAATAAACTGAAAGCTGCACGTCAAGTAACGAACAAGATGTCAAATTCGTTACACGATCTTTATTGGACTATGCATAGACTCATTAGTCCAGCCAATACGTAACTCTGAAATTCCAGCCTAGGTCGGCAAGGGTGGGAACTGGATTTTATAGTCAGTTAACTCCCTTGCCTCTGGAACTGGATTGTTATGTCTGTTAACTCTCTTGCATCTGCAAGATGAGGATTGCTTGGTCTGGATGGAATGGGTGTCATCAAGCCTTGACAGCATGGATCCTTGCTCATGCTGTCAGCAACTGGTTTGTCTGACCAGACTTGATAAGTTATGAAACGTTGTTATGTAGCCTGAGTATTGCTGATCATGGAGTAATTTACATACATTTGACTGTAATGTCTATATTAAATGTCTGCATGAAATTGGCAATAACAATTGATTAACGAGGCTCAAGAAGCTATAGAAGTGAAGGAAAAAAAATCCTTTCTATCACCTCTGTGACCACACACTGCTGTTGAATAGTTCAAGGTTAGCTGGTCTATAGGATCATAAATATTGTGGCGATAGATTCCATTAAATCTGTGGACTTAGTTTATCAGGTGCAGCCACATCACCTTTCTCCTGCTTATACTGTGTTCTGCATGACAACCTCACTGGCCTACACCCTCATCACTGGTGATGAGCTCCCTGTCATGACTGTCAGCCACAGCTGGGTCTCCCTATATACAGCACTGGAAAGATGTGTTACAAAGTAGTGATTCCCTATCAACTAGTCCTTATTGTCATCCAGTGTGGCCCTCTGTCAGAGATGATCATAGCAGCCATGTCCATCAGTTGTGGTCAGTGTGTCAGAACTATCTTCAAACTATCTGAATATTTATATCACAAATACAGCTTGTAAGTATAGTTTAAAATATATAGGCAGTTGTCTAGAACACAGTTGTTTTACCTACATTTCATTTTTGTAAGAATTGCTTTCACTCATTAAATTCAAAAACAAATGATCATGATAACATGTTGACAGTGAACATTTTGTAGAATTCAAAACTAATTAGATCTAGTATCATTCCAAAATTATTTGTTGTTAGTTGCACGCAGAGTTATAGTATCCAATTAAATTTATTCAATTTTATCATATTCTTCTGCAATTCAACCCACATAAAGATGTATAAATGTGATTAACATTACAATCTATAACTGTTGGTCAGAAATTAGAGAAAAAAAATACTTTCAACAAAAAGAGTTAGATCTGACTGTCAGTTAGGTGAAATGAAAAAACACATAAGATTCTATCATCTCCCCGTTCATAAGAAATGATAAATAATATGTATAAAAATCTTTCTAACAAAACAATCCAATCAATAATCATTCAGTATCCTGCTATGCCAAAACTTCTGTCTTTCATTCATTAGCAGCAGTACTAATCTGTAAGTTGAAGTCTTTTTCTTTTTTTTTCGACCACCTACATTGAAATAAAAGCCAAATGTTTTGTAGTCCAACAAATGAAAATAGACTTAATGGTGTCATTTCTACTATGTACACAAGCCTAGCTTAAGATTGAGTTGTATGATTGTAATGTCTCACTTATCCATGCGTTTTACAGCAGTGACTCTAACTCCTGTACTATCAATCAGTAATCATGATGAAATACCGAACAGACTCACAATGTCGGGGTAGTTAAAGTGATGTGACATTTTTAAGAAATTTTTTTCATACTTTTAAAGTTCATGTAAAAAACATATCCGGGTAATGACTGTCATTATATGACAACACGTCAAGCATGTTGTGGGATCAAGTCTCAGGGAAGATAATCCCGCGTGACAAAACAATAATGGCTGCCGATGTTAAAGGTTGAGCTGCGACCTTGGGTCACGGTCAGATGCCTGGCAGGTATGTTACCGCCTCACAACACCCAGCTCTCTACAAATATACACACTTCCTGTATCAAATGCCCCTATATGCAGTCAGTGTTCATGGAGAAGATGAGATTAGATGAGTTATGTTCCAGATTATTGCACCTTTTCAGCGATGTGCATGCATGCTTGCTTGTGTATGTGGCCCCTCGTACTATTCCGGACTAAAGTCAGTTTTATAGTGCTAGCCCACTGAGATTCCATGCCTCAGTTTAACATGAATACCCACTCGGACACAGTATACTGCCTCCGAGCCCACCAGTCCTTGTTCTGACCCTTAATGCCGAGTGCCATCTTTTAACGACTTTTGGTATGATGGGGATGTGCATTGAACCACCTTCTGCTCTCTGGGTAGACATTCTTTCCACTAGATCATGGAGGCAGTCTTTCAGGGATGACGTTATGTACAATACTTTCAACAAATGGTTGTGATCTTCATAAATCTACCTACTTGATAATCTTTGAGCAAAGCTGATTCTATTTCTACTCTCTAAAGTCAGCCACCATATTTGACTGGAGTAGATTGTATTCAGCAATCTTTGTAGATGCAGTTGTATAACTGGTTGTTTTGGCTCCACCTTGTTGTATGGTATTGTAAGGTGTGTTGCAGATAGATGACTGTTTACATAGACTTATGAACCAACACCACAAAAAAACAAATAAAACCTGTCCATGCCATATAAAGCTAGTGGTAGTGTTAACATAGTGGCCAGAGATGCACGGTCTCTGGCAAAAAAATATTTCACAACAATTTTCGATAAATTTCATTTCTAAACATAAAGACTTATAGTCAAGAATAACTGAACTACACTCTGTTTTCAGATGGTTAAGGGGACTCGATGTGAAATTTAACAGGAATGTGTTTTCTTTTAAATTCAACACATTGAACAAATCACTTTCTACTTGTGAAGGACACTGAGACTCTCTAGAAGACATTACCCATGGGTTTTTTACACACACCATGACAAGAACATTCTTTCATTCTTTTACAGGAAAAAATGACGTCGTATACAGCAGACCACCCCCATCCCCACCCCCCCTAAATTCCACCGTGATCTCACCCATGGCTGCCTCTCCCCACAGCCTCCCAACCCCTGACAGGCCACATAAAACAGACAGATTGTGTTTCTACACGGCTGCATTCTCTCCCTGACAAGTCCTGGCATCTGCGATCACACACGTAATAAAGCAATAATGGACAATCAGAACAGTCACCTGTCATCTATCGCCATGGAAATGCTTGGCTTGTCAGTGTGTACACCTGTCTCAATGTCTCAGATTGACATGGTCCCTTTGGGGAAATGGGTAATGCTCTCTCTCAGTTGATTAACTCATCATTCACTCCACGGTACTGAGGATGCTCATTACGGTATACGCTTCTTTAAACCAAAGACATTCACTTGTAGAGGTGAGGTGAGGTGAAATGGGGTTTAACATCGCGTCCAAGATTATTGCACTTATATAGCGACGTGCATGTACGTGTGTGTGTTTGTGTGGCTGTTTGTACTAGTCCGGACTGATGCTGATCTATAGTGCTGGCTCACTGAGATACCATGCCGCAGTTTAACATGAATATCCCACTCAGACACAGTATACTGACTCCGAGCCGACCAGTCCTTGTTTTAACCCGTAAATGCCGAGCGCCAGACAGGGTAACAACAAGTACCATCTTTTAACGTTTTTTTGTATTGACGTGGCTGGGGATCGAACCCAGACTTTCCGCTCTCCGGGCAGACGCTCTACCACTAGACCATGGAGGTCACTTGAAGAAGTCTATCAGGGGCCAAAAACAGTTTTTCATTCCTACTATCAAATGAATATCAGATTGGATCCAGTTCTATGACCAGGATGAAAACAGCTTAGGTAATGCTCCTACTGATAATTCTATGTTAATTATATCTGCAGTTTCCTAGTTACTATATACCCCAAGAAAATAAGGCCTCTCTATGTGGGCAAGTTATATTTTTTTTAAATTAAAATTTCCAGCTGACCCAACAAAATAATACTACCTTTTCTGTTTAAGACTGGATGCTTGATAGTTGTTTGAGCGAACATTGGTTTGTGAGGCATCATGACAATGTTCACACTTGTATCTTGAATAGTATTATGTAATTTAGATATCACAATCCAGAGGCGGATCCAGAAGGCAGACCAAGAAGGCAGATCCAGAAGGCGGATCCAGAAGGGGGGTCTTGGGGGTCCAGGGGTCTGGACCCCACCCTTTTGAAAACTAAAACATGATGTCATGTATTTGAAGCTGTACTGTCGGCTCCTTCATTCTTTAAGTTGTCTATTGTCATAATTGTTATATTCCATCAGTGAGCAAAAACAGCAAAGTTCATATAGTGACACTCAACCAACTCTGGTACAATGTATACTCACATAGATTTTGTCTTTGCCATATCTGACTTTGAGGTTCTTCAAGATGGTGTCCTCATTCAGGTCACTGCAACGTAAACAACAGCTGGTCAAACAACAACGATTGATGTATCAGACAAACAACTAACACACAGTTGCCATAAACAGTTGTACCTGTCATTCCAACATGTGACACATTTACATAGCCGGCAAACCAGTAACACACTGATACATCAAGAACCATGGTGGTCCTAGGACTACCATTTTTATTAGTGGGTGAGTGCGTGAGTGAGTGAGTGAGTATGGTTTAACGCCGCTTTTAGCAATATTCCAGCAATATCACGGCGGGGGACACCAGAAATGGGCTTCACACATTGTACCCATGGGAATGGAACCCGGGTCTTCGGCGTGACGAGCGAACGCTTCTACCACTAGGCTACCCGACCGCCCCTTTATTAGTGGGTGGGTGAGTGAGTAAGTTGAATTTATATACACAGCTTTTAACAATATTCCAGTAATGTCATGGTGTGTCAGCTTGATGTGGGAGGAAAGCCCTAAGTGGCGCAGGCCCGATACATTTACCACTTTGATGAAACTCACCAGATATGGTGCTGAGAAACCTAGAAATATAATTGGGGCAAAACCGGGATTGAAACCCACGATCAGAGCTTTCTGGTGTACCCAAGGGATGCAACTCTGCACAGCGAAGTGAGGCACCTTAGACAACAGCGCCACCTGGGTTATTGTGGATGCAAACTTTCTACATGTTTTGAAGCTATTTGCAGCCATGTGTGGACATTGGACGACTGTCCTTCAATTGATATACTATCGAACATATGTAAATACACACACAATAAGCAGAAATTCTGTGTGTATCTTTACTTGAAGGTCATAAGATATATTAAATTTCTTTTCATATGGCCTTTGTTAACTCATCCATTGAAGATGGAAAAACATGGCTGAGACTGTGTCTATATCCCAGGGTACAGTTTTCAGCCTGCGTTATTGCGGAGAATGTACTGGGGTGTTAATAAGGTGAATACCCAACATGTAACCAGCCAATCAGTGGTCTTGGAGACTATGTACACACAGTGCAAAGACATGGCCGTCATACTGTGCTTGTATCTACTGTCCTAGAATGAATATGTGTGAATAGCCAGAGAGGGAAGTTTTCAAAGACAGACATATTCCCATTGAGAACTGTTGAATGAGTCACCTAGTTTAAGAAGTACACAGTTCTGGGTCAAACATAGGATACTCAGGTAGACATGTGTTAAGATGTACAGACAGGGGTGTACCCAAAGTTTGGGTGTGGTTGGTGCTGTGGGGTGGGCGGCCATTTTCTTTTAAATTATTCTCGCTAAAATAATGACAAATAAGACACTAATTCAACACATCATCAATACAAGGGTTATCAGGATTTTATCATCCAAAGCTGGAGATAACTGTGAGTGAGAAAGTATGTTTTTAAGCCTCTTTAGCAATATTCAAGCAATATCACTGCAGAGGACACCAAAGATGGGCTTCACACATTGTACCAATGTGGGGAATTGTACTCGGGGCCTTCGGGTATGACGAGCGAACGCTCTAACCACTAGGCTACCCCACCGCCCATGATCATGTTATGAGTGAGTGAGTGAGTGAGTTGGGTTTAACGCCGCTTTTAACAGTATTCCAGTTATATCACGGCGTGTCAGCTTAATGTGGGAGGAAAGCCCGAAGTGATGCAGGTCTCAGACGTTTACCACTTCAGTGAAACCCACGAGCACGGGTATGGTGCTGACAAACCTAGAAACATAATCAGGGTGAACCGGGATTCGAACCCACAATCATAGGTTTCTGGCGTGTCCAGGGGACTCAACTCTGCACAGCGAATCACGGCGCCTTAGACGACTGGGCCACCCGTGCCCCCTATCATGTTATGAAGGAAAATATGAAGGGTCACTTCCTTGTGGTGGATGTTTGTTGCAGAGAAACTATAAAAACTATTTATATTCAAACACAACAGGCTAAATTTACCAGAAATTATAAGAAGTTCCAAGTACAAATATAAAAGGAACAAACAAACGCATAATGTTTAACAAGTGCAATGTAATTAAACATTGTTTCACTAGACAGCGTGTTTGTATTCAAAATATGTACATACATAAAACTAGGTGGAATCAAAGTCTAAACAAAAACAAATTATTTGATAAGAATTTTTTTAACCTGACATCAGGGAAATGATATCAAGGTGGAATTGTGACAAACTGGTCTTTTGTCAGGTAGACTGTTGATACACACATATACAAACATGAATCAGGAAATATGGTTGTTATACGCCATCGATGTGGTAAATATCAACAACGTTCATCATCGTCCCAAAGAACAAGTTTGACATTTCTTTTAACTCGTCACTTCTTGCTTCTCCTCCCTAAGGTTAAAGCAACCATATTGATCCAAGGGGTGTGATGTTTAGCAGGGGTCTCGAAGGGGACTGTATCACAAAACAGCTAATTGTGTCATGTGATTGCCTCTTGTGTCGGCAACATTGACTGCTGCGTGACGTTGTGTGTAACCTAGTGTGACCCAATCCATGTTAAACTAGTCCCACACATAAAGCAGCATGGGTGGGGTGCGTTGCCTGCACAGACTCAAATAGAAGGTGTGGTCGTACATGAGTGTTTCTCAGAAACACCCCTGGATCCAAGTCATGGTATTTCCATGAATGATGACTGACTATTGAGAATATTTGTGTACTATATTCTGGCTTGGAAGATCAATGGAAAATTGTGGGGGTATACTAGTTATAAAAACCAAACAAAGCCAAATACTTAACTATGCCGCTATTCCTTGCCTACCTTTGCTGTTTCATAAACAGACACACATTCCATAAGCCAGAGATTAGATTCTTCAAGAATCTGTTTCACAATCCAGCCCAGTTATGAAGGATCATATGGCATTAAATTCTTATTTGGGGATAAAACAATCTGAGTACTAAGAAGTTTGGGCACAATTTAGTTGAAGGAAGATCTTTGTGACTAGAGCGATGTTAGGAATAGGTGGAGGGTAAAATCTTCTGCTTAGTGGGGATTTTGCTGGAATATTGATACAAATGACATACAACCATACTCACTCATACACGCTAGAAATTGTATAAAAATTATTTCATTTCCCTAGCTTCAGGACAGCTGAAAACCTGGTAGAAACAACTATTTGTTTGTTGTTTGTTGTTTCACGCCGCACACTGCAATATTCCAGCTATGTGACGGCGGTCTGTAAATAATCCGAGTCTGGACCAGACAATCCAGTTATTGACATCATGAGCATCAATCTACGAGATTGGGATATGATGACATGCATCAACCAAGTTACTGAGCCTGACCAACCGATCACGTTAATTGTTGAAAAGCTGAGCAAAACCTCTCAACCCAATGACTTCTCCTTGTATGAAAATGTAAGAACTCATGATCGTCATCAAACTGTGTATTTGACCTCGGCTTGAAGTAGTACGGTCACCTTGTGTCGACACATGTTTTCCTGAATTATTCATGCACTTAATGTACTTTATTACCCTTGGATATTACAAATGATTTGGACATACACACTTCTTTCAATCAAATGATTTATATAGCACTATTTATATAGAGTATTCATATTACCAAGTCTTAAATAATCTGCAAATCGCATCAAAGCAAGAAAACACTTTTTACTTCTCTGTAAATAGAATACCTGCCATGATAAGCCCAAAGTCATGCAGAATAAAAAGGCACAATGTTTTTTTCTGATCACATACTTCAACATTTACGGCTTTGCCATAGTCCACTCTGTCACAGTGTGATATAAGAGGCCACATTATCAATAAAAGATAAAACTCAGCTGGAAAAAAATCAAAAGATAAAGAGAAACGATAAAACTGATTGTCAGATGTAGTGTAAAAAAAGTACTACAGCTCAGTTCAATCTGACCTCCAACCTCCACTCAAGCAAAGTGAGTATTGTTTTACGCCGCTTTTAGCAATATTCCAGCAATATCACGACGGGGACACCAAAAATGGGCTTCACACATAGTACCCATGTGGGAACGGAACCCGGGTCTTCGGCATGATAAGCAAACCTTGACCAGTTAGTGCCCAACAACATGACTGTCCAGGTATGGGTAAAGAAGGAGCGTGGGTGTACATGATGTACTGACCAGACGCACGAGTCATTGATCACCTGACAAGCTAAAAGTGTTGTGGGTTGTACATATTTTATGAAACCAAAGAGCAATGTATGGTTCTACCAAACCAAGAGACATAACTTGGTGACTCTGGGATTTGAAGCCCAAACCTTGAAGCTAAGGGACACAACTCTGCAGAGCAAGTTGCAGCACCTACATCCACTTTCCGCCTGGACCAACCGCCACCTTCGAATGATGAACATGGCAGTGGACAGTGCATGCATCGCTTCTATCAGGACAGCTGGCAGATCAATGTCAGGGTGACTTCTACCAAAATATGACATGACTACTGTGTATTTTTAGGTTTTAAGGTGACCTAAAATGTCAGGACTGATCTCGATCGAGTTCATGAGGTACAGGTACACTAGATATGAGTCCTGAGGTCACTCCATCTGCCAGTGGGGTCTTAATCTACGTCTCCTGCAATACGTTCATGTGTTAACTAAGCCTGTAACAATTCACTCGCGTATTCAGTGAATTTCGTTAATTGAATTTGTTATTCGTGGTCACTGGAATCAAATATTTAAAAATATGCAGTCATGTGCATTTACATACCCTGTACCTAATAATATCAATAACAACATATTACATGCATAGATTTCTTTAAAGACAACACTGATATATTCAATTTGATAGTATTGTGGTCACTGGTATTTGTTGTATTTGAGCAGATACTAGTACCTGGATAAGTGCAGTATGTGAATGTATAATATATTTATAATTAACCAACCATGTCGAATAATTCATGTTGTTATTTTTCACTGAATATAACAAATAATACATCAACTGCTGACTTGTTATTGTATTCGTGAATAAATATTTGTATTTGTTACCCTATATTCATGATACGAATCGTATTTGCCTCATAGTGCATTCGTTGCAGCCCTA